ATTTTAGACCTAAAAGAGAAAACTGACCTAAACTGACGTAAGAGTAATGAAACTTGAGTTCCATTTTAAACAAGTTACTATGAACATTTTATTTTTACACTGTAGGATACTTTTTTACCTTATATTTGTAAATCTACAGAGGGTTCTAGTATTCTTTGGCCGTACAACCCAAACCTATGAGATAATGAACATTGTGAATTCATGGCATCTACCTGTTGAATGTGTTCATTGATATCATCAGTCTGCTTTGTCACATCAGGTACTGTGATTTTCTGGAAACAAACACAAGAGCACCTTAAAACAGACACTTTATTCATCATTATAGCACAATATTACCTACTTTTGGGGACTTTGCAAACGCATACATCATTTTAGACCTAAGAGGGAAAACTGACCTAAACTAACATAAGAGTAATGAAACTTGAGAACTGTTTTAACAAGTTACTATGAACATTTTATTTTTATACTGTAGGATACTTTTTTCACCTTATATTTGTAAATCTACAGAGGGTTCTAGTATTCTTTGGCCCTACAACCCAAACCTATGAGATAATGAACATTATGAATTCATTGCATCTACCTGATTGTGAGGGACCAGACAAAGTGCAGCCCAAAGACCCCAATGATGAGAGAAATAAACGGACCTAATGTTCCCTTGCCATGCGTAGAGGTGAGTCGGACTATTTCTAGCCGGAACCTCTCAGCCTCACACACCAGCTCAGGCTCCTTCCCCACCAGTGAGGTGACATTCCACATCCCAATAGCCAGCTTCTGTAGCCGAGGATCATACCGCCAGGGTCCCTGCCCTCGGCCACCACCCATCCCACATTGTACACAACCCCTTCGGCCCCTCCCCCAGTTGGTGAGCCCATGGGAAGGGGGACCCACGTCTCCTCTTCGGACTGTGCCCGGCTGAGCTCCATGGGTAAAAGCCCGGCCACCAGGCGCTTGCCCGTGTGCCCCACCTCCAGGCCTGGCTCCAGAGTGGGGCCCCGGTGACCCACGTCCAGGCTCTGGCTCTGGAACCAGTTTCCTTGAGAAGGGCTGGATACTCTTCCACTCTGGAGTTGCCCCTGGTGAGAGACGCCGAGCAGGAGTGGGCATACTTATTGCCCCCCAACTTGGTGCCTGTGTGTTGGGGTTCACCCCGGTAAATGAGAGGATGGCCTCCCTCTGCCTACGTGTGGGGGGATGGGTTCTGACTGTCGTTTGTGCTTATGCACCAAATGGCAGTTCAGATTATCCACCCTTTCTGGAGTCCTTGTAGGGGGTACTGGAAAGTGCACCTCCTGGGGACTCCCTTGTTCTGCTGGGGGACTCCAATGCTCATGTGGGCAATGACAGTGAGACCTGGAGGGGTGTGGTTGGGAGGAAAGGCCCCCCTGATCTGAAATAGAGTGGTGTTCTATTGTTGGACTTCTGTGCTCGTCATGGATTGTCAATAACAAACACCTTGTTCAGTCACAAGGGTGTCCATATGTGCTCTTGGCACCAAAACACCCTAGGCCGCAGATCGATGATCGACTTTGTCATCATCTCATTTGATCTGCGGCCACATGTCTTGGACACTCGGGTGAAGAGAGGGGCGGAGCTGTCCACTAATCACTACCTGGTGGTGAGTTGGCTATGATGGTGGGGGAGGATGCCGGTCAGACCTGGCAGACCCAAACGTATTGTGAGGGTTTGCTGGGAACGTCTGGCAGAGTCTCCTGTGAGATGGAGTTTTAACTCCCACCTCCAGGAGAACTTCGAACATGTTCCAAGGGAGGTGGGAGACATTGAGTCTGAGTGGACCATGTTTCGTGCCTCTATTGTCGAGGCGGCTTACCGGAGCTGCGGCCGCAAGGTTGTCAGTGCCTGTCGCGGTGGCAACCCTCGAACCCGATGGTGGACACCGTCGGTGAGGGATGCTGTCAGGCTGAAGAAAGAGTCCTATTGGGCCTTTTTGGCCTGTGGGACCCCGGAAGCAGCTGATGAGTACCGGCAGTCCAAGCAACATGCGGCTCGGGTGGTCGCTGAGGCAAAAACTCGGGCATGGGAGGAGATTGGAGAGGCCATGGAGAATGACTTCCGCATGGCTTCGAGAGGCAATTCTGGTCCACCATCCGGCGTCTCAGGGGGGGAAAGTGGTATGCCACCAACACTGTTTATAGTGGGAGTGGTTTGCTGCTGACCTCAACTCGGGATGTTGTGGGTCAGTGGGCGGAATACTTTGAAGACCTCCTCAATCCCACTGGCACGTCTTCCACTGAGGAAGCGGAACCTGGGGACTCTGGGTCGGGCTCTTCAATCTCTGGTGCTGAGGTCACCGAAGTGGTTAAAAAGCTCCTAGGTTGCAGGGCCCCAGGGGTGGATGAGATTCGCCCGGAGTTCCTTAAGGCTCTGGATGTTGTAGGGTTATTGGCTTATGCGACTCTGTAATATTGCGTGGACATCAGGGGAAGTTCCCCTGGATTGGCAGACCGGGGTGGTGGTCTCCCTACTCAAAAAGGGGGACCATAGCGTGTGTTCTAACTACAGGGGAATCACGCTCTTAAACCTCCCTGGTAAGGTCTACTCGGGGGTTCTGGAGAGGAGGGTCTGTCAGATAGTCGAACCTCGGATTCAGGAGGAGCAGTGTGGTTTTCATCCTGGCTGTGAAACACTGGACCAGCTCTAGACACCCAGCAGGGTCCTGGAGGGTGCGTGGGAGTTTGCCCAACCGGTCTACATGTGCTTTGTGGACTTGGAGAAGGCGTTCGACCGCGTCCCTCGGGGAACCCTGTGGGGGGTACTCTGGGAGTATGGGGTACCGGGACCTTTGATACGGGCTGTTAGGTCCCTGTATGACCGGTGTCAGAGCCTGGTCCACATTGCCGGTAGTAAGTCGGGATTGTTCCCGGTGAGAGTTGGACTCCACCAAGGTTGTCCTTTGTCACAGATTCTGTTCATAACTTTTATGGACAGAATTTCTAAGCGCAGCCAATGTGTTGAGAGGCTCTGTTTTGGTGACCTTAGGATTGCATCTCTGCTTTTTGCAGATGATGTGGTCTTATTGGCTTCATCAGATAATGATCTACAGCTTTTGCTGGAGTGGTTCGCAGACGAATGCGACGCAGCCGGGATGAAGATCAGTTCCTCCAAATCTGAGGCCATGGTCTTGAG